TTTCTTGTCATGCCCCTAAGCTCTGCATCTCGGGAGAAGTCCACTGACGTCTGCTTCTGTAGTTCATCAGTCACTCATTTCTTGGATGAAAATATTCTTTCTTCTTGAGATACCTGGCCTTTCTATTCTTACATGGAACTGGGACTGAGGAAGGGCCTTTGAGGTAGTAAAGAAGGTAATATTTCAACAGGGGGCATTAGCAAAAATATCACATGTTGCCAACGTGAAATGCAAATGATGACTACTCCACTTGGAGGTTGTTCTCTATAGAGAGGTTCCAGCAGCTGGGCGCGGTGGGTCACACCTGTGATCCCAGCAATTGGGGAGGCGGAGGCAGGTGAATCACCTGAGGTCAGGAGTTCAAGACCAGCCTGGCTGACATGGAAAAACCACATCTCTACTACAAATACAAAAATTAGCCAGACGTGGTGGTCCATGCCTGTAATCACAGCTGCTCAGGAGGCTCAGTCAGGAGAATCACTTGAACCCAGGAAGTGGCGGTTGCAGCGAGCTGAGATTTTGCCATTGCTCCTCAGCCTGGGCGATGAGAGCAAAACTCTGTCTAAAAAAAAAAAAAAAAAAAAAAAAAATGTTCCAGGGCTGTGATGGGGCAGACGGCAGGGCTGCCAAGACAGGTGAGTGCCTCATGACAGGCTGGGGATTTGGTGCTCTGTCCATCATCATTAACTCATTATTTAGCAACTAGTAACAGAAATTGTCAACTCCAGTAGGCTCGCGACATCAGCTGTCCCCTGGACCTGTTCATTGGGCTGTTACAAAACTGTCTTAGTCTGAGTTGCTAAAACCACAGACCTTAGACTGAATGGCTAATAAACACTTTATTCCTCACAGTTCTGGAGCCCGGGAGTGCTGGAGCAAAGTACCAGCAGATTCAGTGTCTGGTGGGGGCTTCTTGCTGCCTTCTCACATGGCTGAAGGGGCAAGGGAGCTTTTATGAGGGCACTAATCTCCAAGGGCCCCACCTTCCAGTATTATCACCTTGGTGGTTAGGATTCCAACATATACATTCTGGGGAGACACAAATATTTAGTCCACAGCCCTCCCTCTGTAACAGAGCCACTGTTGTTGAAAATGAAGCAGTCACTGAAGACTGTGGGGGAGAGGGTGAAGGGGACTAACAGCAGAAAGCGTTCCACATGAAACATCTCTATTGAACCTGTTTCCTCCTGGACAGTCTTCACTTCCTTTCCGTGGCTACTGTGTCCACTCTGCCCTTCTCGTGTGCTTTGGCCAGCCCACACAGGGCTCCTGCCTCTCTGCAGACACCCCACTCCCTTCTCAGACCCGCTCCCTGTCTCCAGCAGTGACTGAGCATGGGGAAGCCTTGATCTCCACGCTTGCACCCGCCGTCAAGTGTGCTTCATTAGCTCCGCGTGACCAGCCAATCACCCTTCCTAGACGCACGAGCCTTGATAAAGCGCAAAGAAAGTTTACTTGTCACACCTTGAAACTCACATAAGGAATTTCTTTTTTTTTTTATGTATGAAGCTTACTGTAAGCAGATGCAAATTAAACCCAAAGAAGAATGACTTCGTAAGTGCTACAAAAGTGCTCAAATATGAACTATCTAAAGGAATGAGGCAGGCAGGTAGCAGTGGCTGTCTCCAGAGAGGAAGCTGGGATGGCTGCAAGTCATGGGGGGTGGAAGGTCAGTTTCCAGTCTTTATATGGGCAAGATGCCTTAAGACACGCCATCTCTTGTGACCCTCACATGAGCCCTGTGGGGTGCGCAGAGCCAGGCTGTATCTTGCATTTTACAGTTGAGGGCACTGAAAGGTAGAGGGGCCAAGTGACTTTCTTACATACACTGAATAAGAGCATGAATAATGTGCATTTCTTTAACCGCATAAGAAGACTAATAAATACTTGGGTTAATCGGTATAGCATTTGAACTTACAATGTTTAGTGCTTCCCTGTAAGTAACTGCGTAGTGGAGAGAAAAGTCATTAGGATGTGGAGGTCGAGAGTGAAGAGGCCGAGTTTTCGATGGTGTGTTAGGGTGTGTTCTTGCATTGCTATCAACGAACACCTGAGACTGGGTAATTTATGTACTAAAGACGTTTAATTGGCTCATGGTTGGGCGGGCTGAACAGGAGCTACGGCACTGGTGTCTCATCATGGTGGAAGGCAAAGTGGGAGCTAGCTACCACCTGGCAAGAGGAAGAACAAGAGAGAAGGGAGGAGGAGCCAGGCCCCTTTAAACAACCAGCTCCCACGTGAGCTCACAGAGCAGGAACTCACTTCTTATCATGGGGAGGCTACCAAGCCATTCACGAGGGGTCCACTCACGACCCAAACACCTCCCACCAGCCCTCACCTCCAACCTTGGGAGTCACATTGCAACATGGGATTTGGAGGGGACAAAACACCCAAACCACGTCAACTGGGTCATGCATGAGAGTGGTGAGGGACCCAGGCTGACAGTGTCATTGTGGGTGGCCGGGAGGGTGTGGACCCAGAGCTGATGTGATCCATGGGTAAGTGGGAGGGAGGACACAAGGTGGCCACGCTTTGAATGGATTGGAAAAGGGAGGCTTTTGGATGACAGTTAGGGAGTGATAGCTTCTATGAAAATGGCACTGGGGGGAGAGAGACTGTCCCTGTACCAGGAGGGGACCGTGTGTTGAGCTCATGTGGACCAAGTGCTTTTCTAACAATATTTCATTTCATCCTTAGTGCCATTTGCTAAACTAGGTGGATGTAATTCTTCCTATTCATTGATCAGAGGCGTTCAACCGCATTTTCACGATTATGGCAAATGGGTTTTCCACTCTTTAGAACTTTCCACCGGACCGTGTTAGTCCAGTTTTGAGCCCGTGGGAACCTGCAGAGCTGGGATGTGTGCTGGGGAGGCACTGGGTGCAGCAGTCAGAACCTGGACAGACCTGAGCCTTGGTCTTCATGCGGCCTGAGCTCCTTCACATGGTCATGGTGAAGATACAATCAGACCATGTCTATGAAGCCTTTGTCTTGTTCTTGGCATATTTTAAATGTTCGATAAATAAGAATTATTGCTGTTACGTAGAGACTGGTGACAATGGCAGGATGGGTGGAGAATACAAGTAGTCCTTTCTTCATCATTTTAAAACGGAGATTTTTGCCATCAATTCTAGAATTGAAAAGTGAAAATAGGAGCTCACTGACAGTCTCCTCTCCAGCAAGCCTTTGGAGGCAGCATTCAGTATTAAGAGAAATGAGTCTATCTGCCTGGTCCTTCCATCCTGTGTCCCAGCCATGGAGTACAGGGGCACCTGTAAGCTGCTCTTGCCGCCTGTGCCCCCTGGGAACATGTGAGAAAGTGCTTGTCGAGCAGCAGGTCCCGAGGAGGTGCCGTCCGCGCTGGCTCGTTTCCTCTCACTTCCTGTATCCCCTTCAGGAAACTGATTTTTCACTTTTCTCTCTGCTGCTCACTATGCTGAAAGTAACTTTTGCTTCCACCTTTATGCCTTATTTAAAAATTTAAATTTTCCCCTTTTAAAACTCGCATGTAAATTGGTTTAAAGAAAATTCACCCCAAACCCTACCACTGCCAGACAGATAAATTAGATTATATAACAATGTTAGAATTATGTCTGACTTCATAAGTCTGTGTGTAGGAAATAAATGGGGACAGGAGGGAGAAAATATTTCTAACTGTAGTTGCTTTGTCCGAGAAAATTAACAAAAATGGTTATTAATTTGGAAAGTTGCACCCTGAAGAAAAGACAGTAGTGAGGTCTTGTTAGGGAAAGTGACTTGCCATTGGCATTATTCGCGGGAAGCCGAAGCAGGATTTAGTATGCCTTTGTGCGTCTGTACCAATAACAGCAATCGCACTGCACGTAGCATAATCTCAGTTTTTGCATTCATTCCACCCAGTAATACTCCCCCTTTTACTTTTATGGTTCATTTGCATCTCCCTGCGCTTTGCTCTCATTCGAGCACGTTAGTGACTGTGGCGATGAGTGTAAGGGGTGTGAATGAGAGCGCTTACACGCCAGGTGCGCCCCAGAGCACGAGACAGGAAATAACGAAACCGGTGATTTCTACAGACTCCTCTGCAAATGCCGGGGCCATTTCATTTCATTATCTGATACATACGTTTAAACGAGATCATTGTCACCCTTCAGCTCTCTCATTGCACGAAGGGCTCTCTCCGAACGTTTGACGTTTGACTGTGAAACCCCGGTCGGATGCTGGGTCTTCACTGTCACCCACCATTATCTTTCTGACGATCTTCTGAGAGATTATCATTAGGGCTGAGATTTTTGTTGTTCGCTCAAGCAAATGCTGAATACTTGTCAGCCGAAGATTTTTACGTGGATTTCACGGTGTAGAAAATGTCGGCTTCACAGTCGCTGTGGCAGACAGTCTCACTCTGTCGCTCAGGCTAGCCTTGAACTCCTGGGCTCAGCCTCCAGGGTGGCTGGAACTAAAGGTCCGTGCCCCTGTGCCCACTTTATGATGGCATTTCTTGATGTGTTCAGTATGAAATATTAATAGGCGTTATGCTATAAAAGACGCTTGCTTGCCCCGTCGTCAAATATGTCTGAGAAATCTTACAGGGCATTAGAAGTGGGCTTCTCACTGAGGCGCCTCCTGAGTCACTGGAACACTGCTGCATTGTAAATCCCCAAAGGTGAACAGAAGACGAAGTTTCCGTGACTCACTTGCACATGGAAGCCTCTTACTTCCCTGAGATTATCTCCCGAGGACAGACTTCAAAAGCCGTTTTGGGCAGATTCTGCCGTGTTGCTGGCCTTTCTTCCATCCTGCGCTTAGTGCCGGCGACGCGTCTGTGCAGCGCGCTGGGCTGGATGGCGGAGGCCGGTTGTGTTGGATGGTATAGGCCAGGGGCTGCAGCACCCAGACCCCTCTCACCTCCATCCTCCTGCATGGTGAAGGGATACCTGCTTAGGGCACCCTGGTGACCCTTTTGCAGCACACGAGTTTGTAGGGGCTCGGGAGTCCTGCTCACTAATAGTCTTTCCCTGTTTCAGAGGTCCTGGCTCAAGCTGGTAACCCGAGGCGGTTGGTGTGATGATGATGCCGTGTTCTCCTGTGTTCTAACCATCTCCTCCTGATTTCTGGAGCCTGATTACAGCTGCACCAAGGCAAGGACTCCCATAGCCTAGTGCATGAAGGTGAGTCACACCCAGGACATTTCCAGCAGGAGCCCCCAAGCCAGCCGGGAAGCAGTTATCCACACCAGTGACCCCTGGAGAAGTCAGGCCCACTAATGTAAGCCAGCACTCAGTAATGCCATGGGGGCAGTGTGGCTCTGAGAGCCTGCAGAGGCCACAGGGGAGCGGCCGGCATCAGAGCTCTCAAAGAGCAGCGCCCGGCCTGCGTGCGCAGACAAGTGCTCTTAGGAGCCCAGGAAAAGAGGAAGAAGTACTAAGACTTCATTTAATAAATAAAATATAAGAGCGTTAAGAGACATGCTGGTCAGCTGTTATCACCTCCAAACTCACATCAGCTAAAACAGGCTGTCAGGAAATGTGTTTCCCAGTGCTGTGGACAAACCTGGGTCAACTCCCAGTCAAGAGGGTTTCCGAGGCCCACCGGCCTCTGACACTTACCTTTCCAGCCGTTTTTTACCAGCCCTGCGCTTGGTTGTGAAACAGGATGGTTCAGTAGCTGGGTGCCACAGTGAATATGATGACTCAAGCTGTCCTCATGGCAATTTTGCTGTTATTATGTCAAAAATGGGTTTCAGGGAATCTAGGAGACAAACAATGTTGTTGATTTTTTGTCTTCACTTTTAAATTAATTTAAATGATGAATAATAATTGTGTCTGTTTTGATCTATGCATGCATTTTAGAAAGATTCAATCAAACTAATTAACATAACCGTCGCCTCACCCACCTGCAGTGGAATATCGTACAGCATTGAAAGGGAAGGACATTTTGTCATTTGTGGCAACATGGCTAGAACTGGAGGCATTATTGTGAGTGAAAGGAGCCAGGCAGAGAGAGACAAATACTGCACGATCTCCTTAAATACGCAGTCGGAAGAGGTTCAACTCATGGAAGCAGAGAGTAGAAAGTGATTACCAGAGGCTGGAGGGAGGGAGGGGGTGAGCAGCGATGCTGACCCGCGTGTATGAAGTTCCAGGTAGACTGGAGGGGTGAGCGTGAGTCATCTGTGCATGGCGACCGCAGCTAATAGTCATGTATTGTATATTTCAAAATTGCTAACAGAACAGGTTTTTCCCGTGGCACGTTTTTTCTTCCTCTGGCCAACTTGGGAACCCTGGGGCCTCTCAGTGGCCCTCCCGTGAGGCTGCTGCCCTTTGGAAACACTCAGGGAGGGGCATGGGTCAGAGAGGGCAGACAAGGGAATGGCTGCTGGCTGCTTCTGGGGATGGTTATCCCCAGTCTGGCTTTCGGAGGAGCCCCCTCCCGGAGCGGGTCTGACTGCCCTCTCCCTGGTGCTGACTGAGGTGCAAGGGGTGTGGTAGGGATGCAGGCCATGAGGTCCCCACCTGTGATGCCAGAGCGGGGTTTGGAAATCTCTGCATCCCAAGCCCACGCTTGAGCACACGGCTTGTCATAGTTTGTAAGGCTTGGCCGTGTATTTATAGCCTTTCCTCCCCCAAAACAAACCCCAGCTGATGATCCGTGCTAATCATTTCAGCAGAGAGGGCCTACCGAGGTGGTCTCCATGGCAATGACGTGTGCCTGGATCTCCTAGGAGACAGTGACTCGTGTGTCATACTTCAGATTCACTTTACTGCCCAAAATGTGAAACGCTTTTCCTTTACACGCTGAGCCATGCTCAGAATGTGTAAGTTAAAATGTAATTAATTTCTAACCTCTGATTTATTCCTGTGGTATAAAAAGGTGAGATACCTCAATGGGGAAAAAGAGGCCTAAGAAGTAAGGAAACAGCACATGGCTTCTCAAATTACATGATAAATTACCTGGTAGGGGCAGAAGCTGACAGAACACAATGGAACTCATCTGTGCTGTGTTTTAGGGATTGTTTGGTCCAATGGGTGGAGCTCTCTGTTGACATTTGATATTTACTTCAATTTAATCTGGAATAATTTATAACATAGCACTTTGGCTGGAGCTGGGTTTAAAAATGCATGGAACTTGGGCCAGGCACGGTGGCTCACACCTGTAATCCCAGCACTTCGGGAGGCCAAGGTGGGTGGATCTCTTGAGGTCAGGAGTTCAAGACCAGCCTGGCCAACATGGTGAAACCCCGTCTCTCCTAAAAATACAAAATAGCCAGGCATGGTGAGGCACACCTGTAATCCCAGCTACTAGGGAAGCTGAAGCAGGAGAATCACTCAACCCCAGGAAGCAGAAGTTGCAGTGAGCACCATTGCATTCCAGCCTGGGCAACAGAATGAGACTCTGTCTCAAAACAAAACAAAACCACACATGGAACTTTATGCACTGCACAGGTCCACTCCATGCGTGCATTACACAGGGTCACATCGGCACTGCACAGGCGCACTCCATGCGTGCATTACACAGGTTCACATCGGCACTGCACAGGTCCACTCCATGCGTGCATTACACAGGTTCACATCGGCACTGCACAGGCGCACCCCATGCGTGCATTACGCAGGTTCACATCGGCACTGCACAGGTGCACTCCATGCGTGCATTACACAGGGTCACATCGGCACTGCACAGGTGCACTCCATGCGTGCATTACACAGGGTCACATCGGCACTGCACAGGTCCACTCCATGCGTGCATTACGCAGGTTCACATCGGCACTGCACGGAAGCGCCCCATGCGTGCATTACGCAGGTTCACATCGGCACTGCACAGGCGCACCCCATGCGTGCATTATGCAGGTTCACATCGGCACTGCACAGGCGCACTCCATGTGTGCATTACACAGGTTCACATTGGCACTGCAGAGGTCAACTCCATGCATGCATTATACAGGTTCCCATCATGCATTGCACAGGTTCATGGACTGACCCATCACCAAAGTTGCTGTTTACCCAACATCGCAGCCTGGTAGTAGGACCACATAAATATGTGCTTGTGGCCAAAACATTCCATTTGTCTTAAAGCTCAGAAACCTGTCAAGCTCACAGCTACAGGTTTTGAGGGTGACATCCCGCGTGCCTATGAGGTGTTAGTGCCGAAACAGCTGAAACACAACAGTGGGGCTGTCCTGGGGAAGCGTGGCTGTGTGTGATCGCAAAGCCTCATCTGACTTTCACAAAAAAGGAGTCGGTTAATTTCAGGCTCATCCACAAGAGGGCTGCCTGTTCTTATTCCTTGTCGCTAAGTCACCCAGCGGTACTTGACAGAGACAGGGAGTAGGCGAGCTGAGGCAGACACAGGGTGTGCAGCAGGCTGGGGCGGATGCCTCTCCTGTGTTTGAGTCAGCACAACCCAGGACATGTGTCTGCGTACCCATGGAGGACCACAGGCTCTTCAAGCACATGGAGTGGCTGGACCCTGCCTTCCCTGTGGAGGTAGTAGTCAAATCAGAGGAACAAACATAAGCCACCCCTGTTTTAAAGTGGGCCGCTGCTATTCAGAGGTGCGTTCTAAGTATTTTGGGAGCTCAGGGAAGGAAATGACTGATTTTGTCTTGGGAAAGGTTGAGGGTAACATGGAGTTGATAAAGGAAGAGGGTTGAGGGAAGGCCTCGAAGAAAGGGTCGTGTTTGAACTCGCCAGGGAGGAACAAGTTTCAGGGTCCAGGAAGATGGAGACAGGAATCGAGCTCAGGTGGAGCAAAGGCCCAGCAGTGCCAGATGCCTGGCATGAGAAACTGAATACAGGACGCCCGAAATCCACGCCATGCTTCAGGCTTCGCGCAGTTCTCCTTACGCGACAGTGTAACTCTCATACTCTCTCTCAGACCGGAGTCGCAGGGAGGCGGGCTTTTGTTTCAACGGTTTCTCATTAAAATGCAAAACATATTCAAATTCGTTGATTAAAAAATAAAATGTTTGTTATTGGAGAAATGGGAGAATGTCGGTGAAGGAGCACCAATTTCCGTTCTGCAAGATGAATACAACCTGGAGGCCACTGCACAGCAATGTGGCTGTGCTCAGCGGCACCTTCTGGTGTTCCTGAAACTGGCCAAGAGGGCAGAATTGTTTTGGAATTTATTTATTATACTTCGAGTTCTGGGGAACGTGTGCAGGTCGTGCAGGTTTGTTACGTAGGTACACACATGCCGTGGTGGTGGTTTGCTGCATCCATCGCCCGTCATCTACATTAGTTATTTCTCCTAATGATCTCCCTCCCCAGTCCCCCTACCGCTGCTGACCCTCCCCAGTCCTCCCACCCCCTGCTGTTCCTTCCCCTATCCCCCCACCCCCTGCTGTTCCTTCCCTAGCCTCCGACGCCCCAGGCCCCAGTGTGTGATGTTCTCCCCCAGTGTCCATGTGTTCTCAGTTTTCCACACCCACTTATGAGTGAGAATATGCAGCATTTGGTTTCCTGTTCTTGTGTCGGTTTGCTGAGAATTCCAGTTTCATCCATGTCCCTGCGAAGTACATGATCTCAGCCTTTTTGTGGTTGCATAGTGTTCCATGGTGTATATGTGTCACATTTTATCCAATCTGTCACTGATGGACATTTGCGTTGGTTCCAGGTCTTTGCTATTGTAAACAGTGCCGCAGTGAACATACGTGTGCATGTGTCTTTATGAGAGAATGATTTATAGTCCTTTGGGTATATACCCAGTAATGGGATTGCTGGATCAAATGGTATTTCTAGTTCTAGATCCTTGAGGAATCACCACACTGTCTTCCACAATGGTTGAACTAATTTACACTCCCACCAGCAGTGTAAAAGTGTTCCTATTTCTCCACATCCTCTCCAGCATCTCTGGTCTCCAGATTTCTTAAATGATCACCATTCTAACTAGTGTGAGATGGTATCTCAATGTGGTTTTGATTTGCATCTCTCTAATCAGTGGTGATGAGCTTTTTAAATATGTTTGTTGGCTACAGAAATGAAGAGGACAGATCTTAAGGTTCTCACCAAAAAGAAAAAAGGTAACTAGTGAGATGATGGATATATTAATTAAGACGTTTGTGGTGATTATTTCACTATGTGTCTGATATCAAATGATCAAATTGCATACCTTAAATATATACAGTTGTCAAATGTATTTCAGTAAAAATAAAAGTAAAGACAGTTACAAT